TGGCCCGCCTAGCGGTAAACTTAGTTGTGCCGAATCATTCCGTCGTGATGCGGTTATCCGTTCGATTAGACGCTTAGTCGAGATGCGATTATAGCGCAATCGCAATAACCCCGAATAATTCCGCACATACTGGCTGAACTTTATCATTGTAAGCTCGGCACACTTTTTCAAGCTTACATGTGAAGGAACTAGGTACCTTTGTTAAAAACATGGTGTATGTCAGTGCCTGCTAGCGCATGTCAGCAGAAGAACTTGTAGTTGCACTACGTGGTGCACGTTATGAACCTAAGGGGGAATTCGACATCAGGGAGATTTCGTAGACCGTGTTTCCCCCTCCATTATCCCCTCCGCAACGAAGATGCGGCTACTGCGCCTGCGCGTCGATGGCCTTGACTCTAGAGTTCCGGGTATTGTAGCGGGTTGCGGAGAGCGTTGCGGAACGGCGAAAACAATCTACGAAAACTCCCTATTTTGTGGTGTAAGGGCGCAGTTTAGTAATAAATGAGGAGAGGGGCAACATTTAGTCCCAGTGGCCTAAATGCAAGGGTTCAAAAGTTAGTCCTGGGGTTTCAACTTTGAGGGACTAACGGTAGGGGAGCAAGGGTTTCTCCCGTTACCGTTTCTCCCCTAGGGGAGCAATGATTGTGTCAGCGTATTTCTACCTTGAGGGAGCAAGTCACGCTCCCTTTCTTCTTAGAGTGCATACGGTATCACCTCAGGCCTCAGGCTCTGAGTAAATTGGGACCTGAGGTGGTACCACATGTGTACAAAATGTCGCACAACCTCAAGAAGGTGGCGAACCGCTTTGGTGTTTTTCAGCTCCGAGCAAACTGGGCCAGCTCTGCTCTCGAATTACCGGTGGGGGCAGTATAAGGCGAGGTTGCACCACAAAGCATGTCCGGCCGAATGTTGGATGCGTCACGGAGGTGTATACGAAATATTCCTTACGTGTGGAAAGCCCTATGTAGGGAAAACGGGAGGATGTGCGAATGACCGACTAAAGGAACACGCGCAGAAATTTAAAGACGAATGATGGGGCTCATTTGCATGAACACTGCGGAAAATGTAAGTGCGAGCCACGTTTTTCTGAGTCAGCGATTCTGGGTAGAGGAACGAGCCAGAAAGCGCGGGAGTTAAGGAAAGCATACTTTATCAGAAAAAGGGGCACACAATGAGTAAGGAATACATCTAATGCACTGCATAATGCGGAGATAAGAGTTCTTGAGAAGTTTTTGCGAATGAATAATGAGGCGTGTATCCCCCGACCATGCGCATGCTTGGACGTGATGAAGGTGACAAGATAGGTATTTCCTTTGTGCAATTTTCAAATATAGTTGTGAGCGGCGCCTGGTGTGCGTGTCCTCTTCTTTGTGTTTTTTGTGCCTTACACCATGCTTCATAACGCTTGTCAGCGCATGTCCGGGCAGGTAGCGGTATTCAAGACCTAGGTAAACGCGCGGTGCGAATGCAAGTGCATGGTGCGGCGCCCGGTCCTTCCTTATCGTGACGTCCTGTGCAAGGCATATATAGTCAGCCTTCGCCAGTGCTGGGGACAACATATGTTTTTGCACAAGTTGGCCGCATTAAAGCTTTAGTTTTTTTAGCTGTTTATTGTTGCGTTGTCTTTTTTACAGCGGAGCTGTCGAGGGCTAGTTTCCCCAGTATCGTGTCCGTGAGCAAAGAAATGGTGATACAAACTCTGAACAGCCACCGCCATCTATGATCGACGGCGGTAACCAGACAACCAACTTGCAGGTTTTCTGGTTGCCGCCGTTTTTCATAGGTGGCGAAAACCTTTCTAGACTTTCCACTCTTACTTGCCGGCTTGCCGCCGGCCATGACTTCGTTCCCACCATAGTACAGCTTCGCTGGTCTTCCTTCTTCACAAAAATAAAAAAAAGGCTGAAAGCTTTCTTTTTTTTTTTCAGGGAAAGCTAGCGGGTTCTCTTTCCGGCATGGCCGGGACCGTAGCCTCATTGGGTGAACGTTCTGAAGTGGCGGCCAAGCGATGACGTCTTCTCACCTGGGGGCCCCACCGGGGTCCGCAACACCGCTGGACCCCAACGACCCCGTGCTCACAAACCCCACCGTGGCGCTGGCGGTCAAGTCTTTCAGGTATGTCACGAATGCGCCTGTAGATAGAATGAAGCGTGATATGGTAAAAGGCCTCGACAAGGTCGGGCTTCACCATGTACGCTCTGCGCTTGAGGCGGAAGGGGGGTTTGCTTTGACTGCCTGGGGTAGGAGAGTAGGGTGGCGGGAGGTGAGGTGCTGGGAGGTGAGGAGGTGCCACGAGGTGAGGAGGTGCCAGGAGGTGAGGAGTAAGTGCCGTGCAGTCTAAAACGAAGCGGGACACAGTGGCTAACTTGAGGACGAAGACGACGGGGTTGAGGCACAGGCCATGTGAAGAGCGTTCGATGATGCCGACCACCAACATGTTGGTACGGCGGCATCAATCGTGGGAACTTGGCCAGAGGGAGGGGGCCGGGCCGTGAAGCAAGAAGCCTTCGTGCAGAGAATGGAAAGGGCGCCAAAGTCGGCCGGCCCGTGATAATTAAATGGCTCGTTAAAAAATGCCCAGTCTAATTGAGGTGCTTGCTGGGTCCCGCGGACTGGCGGCGGATGTCCCGTCACTCTCGACTTGTAGGAAGTGCTGCCGAGGTCCGATTGGGAGTCTTCGACGTCGATTTGTTTGTTTCTAGCATGTTCCTTTGTGTTGGTGTGGTTTTCCTCCTCGCCAATCGTGGGTATCGAAGGAGTGGTCATCGCCGTTGGGATCGATGAAACTGTCGGTCCTGCTGAGTCACTCCAGGATTTGCTCGGCGGCGGTGGCCGTCGAGTCCGGATCCAATGGTTCGTTTTCTTCTGTCCAAGGCGAAGCACGGGCAAGATCGGCTGAGATCCCGGCCTCGCATAATGCATAGGCGAGAACATCCTCGACCAGGAAAACGTCTTCTAGGAATGTCGAGGAGACGAATGTGCTGTCGATGACGACACTGGTGGGTCCCGGACGCCCACAGTCGCGGCCGGACTCACTTTGGATTAGGGGACATCTTGGACGAGGTGTCTGGGCGGTAGTTGGTGTTTGTGGGGGCACGATGCGCTCCGCGTCCGCGTCGAGCTTGGTTGGGTAGCTGGTCGGGGAGCTCTTTAAAGACCTCGAACTTGAGCCTGGACCTTGACGTCTGATATTAGATAGCCTTCTTCCAGTCCTTTCTTGCGACGACGTGGAAGAGTTCCAGTCTATCGAAGGTGAGGTGCGGGCGTTCCGGGAGCATGGCGTCCCAGTAGAGCAGGTACGGGGGTAGATGCCGGATCTCGTGGACGTCTCTCGTAGAAAGACGTCTGGTGCTCTGGGCGAGGTCGCGCAGAATGTTGTAGGCCTGGCTTGCCCCTGCTGGCAGTGGGAGCTCCACCGGAGGTAGTCGGATGCCGTTGGTGGCTCCTGTAGTAATGATTCCCTTTGAAGCCATCCCTGCGGCGGGAGCTTCCGGCGATACTGGAAGCGATCTCATGGCGCGTCAGTGGTTGTTTGAGCTCACCGTGCTGACGTTCGAATAGCTCGCGTTCAGAGTCCTGCGACACAGACTGCTGAGACTGGGACGAGAACGGCCAGGACGTCGGTGGTTGGAAGCAGGGCAGCTCCCAATGTTGAGACGAAGAAGACAGAAATTGCCTCAGTTGTCTGCTGGACGATGGCGGCCCAGTCATCGGCGGTCAAGTCCATTGGCGCGTTGAACGACAAGGCATCCTTATTCTTGCTTTTTTAAACGTGTGATGCTGAGATGCGTGGAAGTGTCGGCGACTGCCACTCGGTTCGAGAAAGGGTCTCGGCCCAACTAAATAAGCAAAAAAAAAAAAAAAAAAAAAAAAACCCCGGAAATTTTTTGCACGTTTCCTCGCTCATTCCGCCGCTCTCAGCAGCACAAGAAAAAAGATGTCTCAAAACCGTCAAGTCTCAATTCGATCCTCTACGGTCGCATCCATAAAAACGCGGTATATGGCTGCATGAATGCGATCGTAGCGCTTCGAATCGAGCATGGACCAATCACACGCGGCCTGTCTTCCTACTTTTTTTCTTCTATCCATCTGCTACCAATCAATATAGTCAAATCTAGATTCGATTGGCTACGGTCGCATCCATGTAAATGCAGCCACTGTCTGGGTTTACATGGATGTGATCGAAGCAAATCGAATCGAGCAGGAGCCGATCACACGCATCTTGTCTCCCTATTTTTTCCTCGTCTACTCATCTGCTACCAATCAAAAGAGTCAAGTAGCCTGGTTCTCTTGTAATCTCGCGGGAGAAGCGAGTAGCCCGAGGTCCGCGGTCCCGTGCTCGCGCTCCTGCTTCTTTTGTCTTGCTCTATTTATCCCCGTAGGCACGCTAGTGCCTTTCAAGCTGAAGATGACGGAGAAAAGTTGGCCACATTAACTTTTAATAGTGTGTCGGCTGCCTTCCATGGTTAATCCAGCATTGTTTTGTTGCGTTTGTTTCTTTCGATGGCACCGATCTGGGCACAGTAAAAATTTTAATATAATGCCCGTTTCTTACGGTGCGCGGGTGCGCAGTGCGAACGGTGTTTCGTGCTTTGTGAACCCATGCATTAAAAACGCGGCTAGAAGCATCTTTTGTGGTGTTGCTTGGAGACGGGGAAATCTCCCAGTAACCATCGCATATGCTTTAACAGCGGATGGAGCGGTTAGAACTCAAAAGCCGTTCTCCGGCGACAGAGGAGCGCGCGCTTTGACAATCCGCGTAGCTGCATGGCTGTGTTTCACTAAGATGGTTTTAAGATCACAATACGACGACCAGCTAAAACGGTTATCGTGCGATGCGACGGTGAGCGACGCGAGGCCAGGCCTACACGAAGTGCGCCTCGGTTGATTAAGTTCGGACCGTTCATCTCGGTCATCTTCAAATGGTCGGCCGCTTGATTGCGGCGACTCAGTGGCAGAACCCGTCCATTGAGAGTTTGCGACGTTTCGCCTTGGCGCAGGAACATGCGCAGCGCGGCGTTGACCCCCGTGGCGCGTCGGCTGAGAGACATCATGCTCAAGAAGAACCCGCACGTGCCCCCTCCGCAGCCAGCGGCAGCCGACTGGACCGAGGTGACCATCGCTTGCCCGCCGCTGCCCGGCAAGGCGGCCGTCGGAGGGGCCAAGAGGATGATTCCACCGGGACAGGTACGCTCATGGTAGCACCGATCGATGGATGAATGATTGCGAATAAATCATTTTAATCGGGCGCGGCTCGCGCCACCTATAATAATGGATGGATGGATGGATGAATCCGGCTGAATCCTTTGAATCAGGCGGCAGCTTACGCCACCTAGCCATTTTGTTTTACCATTTAAGCTTAGAATATTTAAATGTGAAATCTATATTCACTCCGCACTGCAAAGAAAGTGAGGCTATAAAACCCCTTGCCATCAGTTAATAAGAAAATACCTAGTTTTTTTTCGCTTTCCGCCACCATTCACTTAGTATTTGCTTGGTAATCTCTACAGTCTTGAAATCCACTCTCCCTTCGCTATCTCTAAAACCCAATGACTCTATTAAATCTATGTTGCCTTCGGTAGGCATAGCGTCAAGCCCTTTACAGTAGAGTATCAAGTGCTCAGCCGTCTCGTCCTCCTCTCCACAAGCAGTGCACACTGTATCCAGTTCCTGGTACTTCGCTCTGTATGTTCTGGTTCGCAGAATACCCGTCCTCGCCTGAAACAACAATGAGCTTCCCCTAGAATTGCCATAAATGCTTTCTTTGGCAATAACTCTTTTGTGTAATCTATAGCTTTCCAGAGCCGTCTTTGTCTGCATTCCCTCTAGCCACCGATCTCTTTTTGTGGCCTTAACTTTCTTGTTAACTAAGACCTGCTCTTTCGTATCTCCACTATAGCCTAAAAACTTTCCTCTTAATTTCCTAGTGCGCTGTCTCCACCTTGTGTTTATACTCCTCATATATAAATAGCTGAAAACCTTTGTGCCCATTGCTCCTCATCCATTTGCCTTAACCGATCCTCAAATTCTGTCTTGCTCACAGCTTCCCTGGTTTCGAATGACGCCCATCCCATGTCTCCTTGTACTACTTGGTTTGACGTTTTGCAATGTGCCCCCAAAGCCAGCCTACCTACTCCGCGCTTTTTTATGTCTAGTCTTGCATGCACTTCGAATTTCATGCATACCACTGCGTTTCCAAAAGTCAAGCCAGGCACCATGACCCCCTTTCCAAATCTCTCACCACCTCATACCTGTAGTAATTCCAAAGTTTTCTATTTTTCATTACAGCTGCATTTCTGTTGCCCTTACTTATTATATACTTTTCATGCTCACTGAGATATTCTGCGCCATCACATATCCATACTCCTAGATACCTGTATTTACTAGCTCTCTCAACTGTAATATTCTGTATCTTCAGCCTCTCAACATCATCATCGTTAAAAATTATGACTTCTGAGTTTTCATTACTGAATTCTAAACGTAATTCCTCTCCTTCCCTACCACAGATGCTCATTAATTCCTTCAGCTCTGTCCTGTTGTTAGCCATTAGTACGACATCATCCACATACATCAATCCTGGTAAGGATTGATGAATGTTTTGGCCTAGCTTACTGTACGAAAGGTCGAATCCAAGCCCACTCCCAGGCAGCACACCATTGTTGGACCCCCATTGGCCCAATGTTGGCAAAAAATGTTTCCAATATTGGTCTGACGCTGGAATTTTTGGAAACGCCACCCGATCCAATGGTGGTCCAACATTGGTGGCAATATTGAACCACTGGTTTGCCAACGTTCTAGCCCACGTTGAACCAACGTGGTTTGCGCTTTTTTATCCAATATTGGCATAGAGGTTTCGCCGTTGGCTGAACCAACATTGGCATCCAGTGCCTTACACACTGGCTCTTCCAACATTGGCTTAAACATTGGCTATTCTAATATTGTCATCCAGTTTAATACACTGGCTATTTTTTTGCATCCATTGTCTATGCCATTATCGGATGCCATTTTTCAGCCAGTGTTCTAACCAGCGTATCAAAAACAGTGCAGAGAACCAAGCAAGTATCTTGCCCTTTTTCCTCAAGCACTGTTTTCCTTTCTGATACTAAAATCTAATAAATGCAGCAATTTGACCATATTTGGACACTTTAGAAATCATTTAAGCAGGCAAATAAATTGGTCATAACGTTTGATAGTTCATAATTTATTTAAATCGAATAAAAATATTTAAAACATGGTGCAACCAGGGGGGCCTGGGCAGACTCGGTGGCAGGGTCGGCGGCAGGCTCGGTAGTGGACAGTGCAGAGGGCTGGGCGAAGGGCTGGGCAAAGGGATTCCACGCAGGGGCCTGGCCACAGGATTCTGAGAGAGAGAGAAGCGGGGGTTTGGATTCAGGTGAAGGGTTTCAGAGGCTCTCAGTTCTCTCTTACGCTTGTCAATAATGAATATCAAAATAAAACATAGCTACATTATTAATCGCCGCCCTTTAATTAGCTATTCGATTAATCGGCTCAGTTGCTCGTCAAGTATAAAATCTCGGAAAGGCCTACCGACATTTTTATGTTTACCTTTCCCTATTATATACTTTCTTTTTCAGTGAAATATTTTTTTTGTATATAAAGAAACTTAGCACTGCCTTCTAAAATAAATAGATGAGCAGGTAAGACACCGGGGCCGGCTTGCTGGAATCAGTGTCTCAGCTGAGACTGGGTGAAGGAAAGCACTGTAAAGGCTGGGACGCGCGAGCGTCTTGAGTCGAGGAGGAATAAACTTCATTATGCCTGTATATTGGTGTCTGGGTGGTTCCCTTAGTCCAGGGCCCCAACGCTGTCGGCTGTCAGCCTCGCCCGCTCGATCAACTTTAGTCGGTCAGCAGCAGACGAGCTGAGCAGTGCGGCTTCCCACTTTTCAGGAGTGGGATCAGGGTGGGAGGGGGGGATGTTAGTGTGAGCGGTGCAAAACCATGCGGTGTGTGATAAAGAAGCATATTGCCCGCAGCGCGGACATTCGGCTTTGTAGCTTGTAGGGTAGAATTTGTGCAAGAGCGCTGGGTTGCGGAACGCTCCTGTCTGGAGCTGGCGCCAAGCGACCGCGTCCTCTCTGTTGAGATTTTTGTGTGGCGGGGGGTAATCACGCCTCTGGCCACGATGGTAGGCCCTGACTTCGGAGTACCTGTTTGGCACCGGAATAAAGTATGCACCTAGCTCTAGTCGCGACGCGGCGGCAGGAGCGGCCCAGAGGGTGCATGCTCGGACCTCGGTGTCAGCACACAGATTGCCTATCACCTCGTCGTGTCCTGGGATCCATATGAGTTCCACTGTGGGGAAGCCCTGTAAGTCTCTCTGGGTGAGGACCTTGAGTGCCTTCGGCGAGACACGGCCTGCTAGGAAGCGACGCAGTGCTGCTTGTGAGTCGCTCATGATGGTGACGTGATCTTATCCGAGCCCAATGGCCATGGCGATGGCGAATTCCTCTGCAATGGTCGTATTAGAGGTGCGCAGCGACGCCGTGATTCGGGTGCTTCCAGTTTCATCCACGACGCATATTGCCGCTGCATTCCGTTGATAGGCATATGTGGCCGCGTCTGTGTACAGGACATCAGCCCGTTTGCCATACGCCTTTTGGTAGAATCTTGCCCGAGGCTTGCGGCGTTCCGCGTGGAGCGTCGGGTCCATGCTGCGGGGGATCGCGTGCACCTTGATTTAGCTCCAGATGTGTCTCGGGAGGGGTGTCGTGGTGTCTTCTCTGTCCCATTGGAAGGGAATCTTGAGCGACTCTAGGACCTTTCTGCCCGCAGGGGTTTTGGCCGAGTCGGTCTCGTTGAGTGGCAAGGTGGCTGTCCACCAGCTCCCTAAAAGTGTTGTGGACGCCGAGCTTGAGTAGCTTGTCTGTGGAGGTGTACGGGGGGAGTTCGAGGGCCGTCTTGTACGCTTTGCGTATGAGGACATCTAGCTTGTCCTCGTCTCCCTTTGTCAGATTCAGATAGGGTGTGGCGTAGATGATGCGCGACCCCGCCAGGACGTTAACCAGTTTGATCGTGTCGTCTTCCCTGAGACCGTGCCGCCGGCTGGCGATTCGGTGCATGATGCGTAGAATCTGGGATACTTGGTTCTGGAGGAGTGTGAGGGTATGGGTAGCCTTTCCGTCCTACTGGAGGTGTAGTCCCAGGATTCTGGCACGCGGCACCACGGGGATTCGAGAGCCGTCGTCCAGGAAGACTTGTATCTCGTTTCTGGGCTCCGAGTTGCGGCGGGACCTTGGGGTCTTGCAGATTAGGATCAATTCCGATTTGGCTACCGAGATATGTAGGGGACCCTGGCATAGGTACCGTTGAGTTTCGTCGACTGCCACCTGAAGTGCGTCCTGCTTCTCTCCGTCAGACCCGGACACGGTCAAGATTGTGAGATCGTCCGCGTACAGAGAGTGTTTAATGTGCGGGATGCGCTCCAGAATCGGGGGCAGCCCGCTCATTGCCAGGTTGAACAAGGTTGGCGAGAGCACCGCCCCCGGCGGCGTGCCCCTCTTGAAATGTTGATGACGTCCGTGCGGAGGTCACCTGCACCAATGGTGGCTGTCCTGTCCCGTAGGAAGTCCCGCAGGTAGTTGTACATTCTGGAACCGCAACTGGTGACTGTTAGGTTTAGGAGGATTAGCTGGTGGCCCACATTATCAAAAGCTCCCTTGACGTCCAGCGCGAGCACCGCTTGGGTCGTCGTCCTAGAGATGGGGCCAAGAATGTCCTCTTTTAGCGGCAGCATGACGTCCTGGGTTGACAAGTGCTCTCTAAAACCAAACATGGTGTGCGAGAACACGCCCGTTTCCTCCATGTGCGGCTGCAGCCGTTTGAGGACAAACCGTTCCATCAGCTTTCCCACTCAGGACGTGAGGGCGATTAGTCGCAGGTTGTCGAGGCAGAGCTCATTCCCAGGTTTGGGGATGAGGATAATTTCCGAGTGTTTCCACTCATTGGGGAGCTCGGCGTTCTCCCATACCTGGTTGATATGTTTCAAAAGGGTCTGAACCGAACCTGCGTCTAGGTTACGAAGCAGCGTGTTTTGGACGCGGTCCTCGCCAGGTGCCGTATTACGGCCCAGGTCTTGGAGCGCGCTCTATACCTCTTCGAAACTGAAGGGGACGTCGAGTTAGGGGTTTGGCTCGCCTTCGGAGTCATGATACTCCTCGTCCGGGGACGAGCCGATGTACC